TTTTGTTTTTGTTTTTGTTTTTGTTTTTTGTTTTTTGTTTTTTGAGACAGGGTTTCTCTGTGTAGTTTTGGTGCTTGTCCTGGATCTCACTCTGTAGACCAGGCTAGCCTCGAACTCACAGAGATCCTCCTGGCTCTGCCTCCCGAGTGCTAGGATTAAAGGTGTGTGCTACCACTGCCTGGCTTGTTTTGTTATTTTATTTTTTGTTTTTCTGAGTCAAGGACTCAACTGTGTAGCCCAGGCTGTCCTGGCTCGCTAGATGGACCAGGCTGGTCTCAAACTTACAGAGATCTGCCTGCCTCTGCCTCCTGATGCTGGGATTAAAGGCCTGTAACACGACATCTGGCTTAATGGTGTGTGTGTGTGTGTGTGTGTGTGTGTGTGTGTGTGTGTGTGTGTGAGAAACAGGTACTCATGGAGACCAAAAGCATCTGCTTCCCCAGACTGGAGTTGAGCCACCTGACATGGGTGCTGGGAACTGAACTTGAGGCCTCTGCAAGCGCAGCGAGCTCTTTTAACCACTGAGCCGTCACTCCAGCCCTGTCTATAGCACTTTATAAAGCAGGGTGATAACTAAACTAATCTCAAGCTACTCTCTGAAGGTCGGTGTCTGATCCAGGCCTCTGGTATATGTGCCCTAAGCTGCCCAAAGCAAAGTGGTTTGCACCCCTCTACAATATGCCTTGAAATTGATGGAACTGCAAAACTTCTATCTGGAAGATACTCACGCCTTTAATCCCAGACTTGGAAGGCAGAAGCTGACAGATCTCTGTGAGTTTGAGGCTAGCCTGGTCTACATCATGAGTTCTAGGTCAGCCAGCGCTACATAGAGAGACCCTATCTTAAAACACACACACACACACACACACACACACACACACACACACACACACACACACACTCCCCAATCCCCATCAAGGTAAGCATCTGGGCTTGCCTCTGTTTGCTGAATGAAGGCCCCTCTCTGCTTGCTAACCCACCTAGGCTTGCTCCTCACCCTCTGACACAACACAGAGATACCACACTGAGATGGACTCAACAACCTACCCCAAGTCAAGTATGACACCACAACACAGAGATACCACACTGAGATGGACTCAACAACCTACCCCAAGTCAAGTATCTAAGAGGCTTGAGAGCCGATACCAGGAACATGTGGAGACTGGTTCATCAGCTCACAATACAAAAGACAGCTGGTGGTCACTAGGAATTAACCAGCCAGGCCCACAGTGGCTGTGAGCACCTACCACCGCAACCCAACCAACCTCCACATCTCCTCCTCAACCCCCTCTTCTCCCCACCCCCTTTTTTTTCTTTTTTGAGCCAGAGTCTCACTAGGTGACATAAGCTGTTCTGGACCTCTCTATGTAGACCAGGCTGGCCTGGAACTCATAGAGATCTGCTTGTCTCTGCTTCCTGAGTGCTGGGGTTACTGTGTGGACCCCGCCCCCATCTTCTGTCTCTCTCTTATTCCCTTCTTCGCTTTTCACTGCCTCTTTGAGAACCTTTCCTTCTCTTTTTATCAAGTAGAATACAGACTTAAACTCTCTCTTCAGTATTTGTTATAGCATTCGGTGTGAAATGGGTCTTAAAGATGGAAAATCTGAGTTCAGGTCCAGCTCAACTGTGTGACCCCGGTACATTAATTAAGTGCTGGGGTTTGTCCAACTGGAAAATGAGGATTAAAGGCATCTCCACAGACTAGTATTAAGAATTAAATTAGATGAAATAAACTGTATATATTATCTGGCTCAATGCCTGATATTATGGGTCTTCCATAATGCTAATTCCTTTTTACTTCTCTAGGAAAATATTATTTGATCCTTAGTTATGACCTCGATGGAAAAAAAAAAAAGGCCTCTGTTCCTTGCATAAGACTGACATGGAGCCACCATTCAGAATTCTACACTGTCTGATCTAAAGGCTCCTTACCTTGGAGCACACAATCTGAATTCTAAAAATAAATCAAGACAGAAAAATTTGAATAACTTCTTGAAACATAAAGTAGTGGCAATCATAAGCTAAGCATTTTTTTTTTTCAGAGTGTCATATAGCCCAGGATGGCTTTGAACTCACTACATGGCCAAGGATGACCCTGAACTTCCAATCCTGACTTCACCTCCTGAGTACTAGGATTACATATATGAGCCACCAGGACTAGTTTTACTTGGGGCTGGGCTCTGTGCATGCTAGGTAGGCACTCGACCAGCTGAACCCAGCCCCAGCCCAAGTTAAACATTTAAGAGGCAGGAACGTTCTACACAAAGCAATAAAGATTTAACATGGTATTTTAAAGTTCAGCTTAAAATTACCGAAGTCATTTGGGCCGTGTGAGGAACACCTGGTCTACTCCACAGCAACAGCTGCTGTGTTAGGGTTCAGTCCAGGGGCCAGACAGTCGGCAGCTACGTCTTCCACCTCATCTAAACCTTGGCCCAGAGACTGACCCTACGCTCTAGACTAGTTAGTTATACACTGATATCCAGGAGCTGTCCATAAAAATAGAATTGGTTTTGAGAAGACGCATCACTGGGAATCAGACTAGGCAACTCAGTGTTTCCTAAACCAGGCTAAGATTAAACGAAACGGCCAAAGAAGAGCCACCATGGGGCTTCCCCATGTGATGCTTCAAGCTGTAGCCAAGAACAAAATGTACAACGACGACGGATGTCAAGTAACGTCATTCCCTCAACTGCACACCTGTAACACGGAGGACACTGGGGAACAGAAACCAGACCAGTCAGGCCATGAGGGGGGCACTGTAACACCTGAGGCCAGACGCTCACATGGAGGGGAGGTGTTGGGAGTTGCTGGGTTACAGTATTCTAGTTAGACGCAAGTTCAATACCAAAGGGCTGAAGAGATGAAGGAGACAATTTCCTCAGGGGAAATAAAACAAAGACAGTATCAAATTGAAAATGCAAGGAAAAAGTAAAGAGGAATGTTCTGAGGGCAGAAAAATAAACCAACTTCAATTCCAAACCCCAAGACAGGAACTGAGAAGTAAGAGTGGGGTACCTTTGACTAATCAGAAAAGACAAGAGCCTTCGGGAACTAGACATCCGGGTACAGTCTGAGGTTGAACGGAAGAATAGCCCATTCTCACTGAGCTCGTAAAGGAAACAGATTTGCCGCAGCATGCAGACTGAAGTGGGAGAAAGCATCAAAGGTCTCAGCCCGCAGCAACTGAATGGGGGCAGATTTCTATGCCTACTCCCACAGGCATTGCAGCTACAGGTAAGCGGCAGGCCCGGCCGGGGTGAACTCCAGTGGCCGTACTTACCAGAGTCTTCCCACTGGAGTAAGTGCAGCTTCCAGGCGGAATAATACAGAAACCCCAGGACCAGGAGGAGGCAGAGGGCTAGCAGCAGGTTGCGCACAAACACCAAGAGTCCCATCTTCACATGATTTACAATTTCCTACATGACCTAAAAGCAAAAACAAAAAAAGCCATTAAGATATAAAGCTATCATCATCCTTATACATGAAGAAACTATAGACAGTTTGTAAATAAAGAGCAATCACTGAGTCATGGCAAGGTGCCCATCTCCAGAGAACCTCTCCAGGTTACTCAGCACCTGCTCACCCGTGACCTCACTCACGCCAACGGCCAATTTTTGGCAATTATAAGCTCTCAAATAATTTTTTTGGTTTTTGTTGTTTTTCCAAGACAGGGTTTCTCTGTGTAACAACCCTGGCTGTCCTGGAACTCTCTCTGTAAACCAGGCCAGCCTCAAACTCAGAGATCCACCTGCCTTTGCCTCCCAAGTGCTGGAATTAAAGGTGTGCGCCATTATGTCTGGCTGTAAAAGTTTATTTTGATTCCATGCATATTGAGTGTTTTGTGTGTGTGTGTGTGTGTGTGTGTGTGTGTGTGTGTGTGTGTGTGTGTGTGTGTGTACCATGTGTGTGCTTAGTGCCCGCAGAGGCCAGAAGAGGTCATCAGATCCCCTGAAACTGGAGGTATAGATGCTGCTATGTAGATACTGGGAACTGAACCTGGGTCCTCTGAAAGAGCAGCAAGTATTCTTAATGACTAAGCCAACTCTCTAGCCTCTCAATTCTTTCTTTGCTTGTTTGTTTTGTTTGGTTTGGTTTTGGTTTTTCAAGACAGGGTTTCTGTGTGTAACAGATCTGGCTGTCCTGAAACTTGTTTTTAGACCAGGCTGGCCTTGAACTCACAGAGATCTGCCTGCCTCTGCCTCCCGAGTGCTGGGATTAAAGGTGTGCACCACCACCGCCTGGCTGCTCTCAGTTCTTAAAAAAGATTTTTAAAAGATTTATTTATATTTATTCGTGGGTATACCTACATGCCTGTATGTGTATGTACACCACATGCATTCAGGTGCCAGGAAAGCCAGAAGAGGGTATCAGATCCCCTGTGACTAGAATTACAGGCAGTTGTGAGCAGCCCAATGCGGGGGCTGAGAACCCAATCCGAATCCTCTAGAAAAACAATACATGTTCTTAACTACTGAGAGCCATCTCTCTAACCCTTTTAAAAATTTGTGTATATTTGTGTGTATGGTGGGGTATAAACAAGTATAAGCACAGGTGCTTCAGGAGTCCAGAAGAGGAGCTCAGATCCTCCAGAGCTGGAGTTATGGGTGGTTGTGAGCCACTTGAGGTGGGTGCTGGGAACTGAAGTTCAGCCCTCTGTAAGAGCACTATTAACCACTGAACTATCTCCGGCCCTCAAGTAAATGACATCATATGCCTTCCCACCATCATTCCCCTCGTCCAAGCCATTACTATGTTTCCACAAATCAGTTTATACGCTCTGCATGCATTTTGCACACAGCATCGTTTGGTTCCGCCTTGTATTGTTCAAGACAAGGGTCTCCACACAGCCTAGGCTGACCTAGAACTTGCCGGTGTAACCCAGACTGGCCCAAAGCTATGATCCTTCTGTCTCAGCCTCTGAGTGCTGGCTGAGACCTCAAGCATGTCCCAGCATGCCCAGCTCATAACCATTTCTAACATCAAATGTTACTGCCATGCTCAAACCCCTTGGAATTCATTTTCTTCTACTTCTGAAACAAGGGTAGGGCAGACTAAACATTTCACAGTAAAACACATTCATTATCTCAGAGTCCTGAAGGCCAACTCCCAATACAGAGTAGCTCCGTCAGGCCCTCAGTGTACAGTCACGTGAGTCAGAGCCAGTGCATCAGGGGCTACACACTCCCCAGAAGCCCCAGAAAGAACCTAGAAAAAAGGAATTCTTGTATGTGTATGCATATGCATGTGTTTACATATGTACGGAGCACACGCACATGGATACGTGTGCATGTGGGAGATCGAGGAGACCTCAGGTGTCATCTCAGGAGCCATCTGGGTTGTTTTTTGAGACAACGTCTCTCCCTGGCTTGGAGCTCGCTCTACAGCCTTGGCCAGCTGGCTAATGGTCCAGGCATTCATCCCCAGCCTCTGCCTCCGCAGCTCTGGGACAACAAGGGCACACCACTACTTGGCTTTCTCTCCCTGGGTTCTGGGCTGGAACACGGGTCTTCAAGTCTGCAAGGCCAGTTCTTGCCTGAGCCATCCATCACTCAGCCCTTTTTTATTTTGTTTTCAAAGTTCTTGTGCATGTATATATTGTACGATGACCATACACCACCTCACATCCCTTTACACGTCCTTTTTGGTTTTGCCCCTCCGGTTAGTCCCTTTTGCCCCCACACAGTTTCACTTTTCCTTTCTGGTTGCATACAAAAACATGATTTTATATCTTCATATAAAGTCTAGACATCACAATTGTGAGAAAATATATGACGGCTATCCAAAATTTTTAAAATGAAAAATATAGAGAAACTGAAAGCTGTATGGGGAGTGGCCAAAGTATAAACTGTACTCTATATAAACTATACTATAAACTATAACTATAGTCTATATAAACTCTACTATAAACTATATATTATCTCAATACTTCTACAGCAGGTGCGAGGCCCTCCCCCAGGCAGCAAGCAGCATAATTCAGCAGTGGACACCAGCTGACTCCTCTAATCTGACTCCGTTCTGCTAACATCAGATCCCATTGGCTGAGAGCACAGTCACAGACCCATGCCAGATGCCAATCACAAGCCCCGTCTGGATTTCCCAGTACTTCTGACCCAGGGGCTACAAATCAAGGGTTCTCCAGACCTCCTGCTTTGGTTCCATTCATTTGTTGGACTGGCTCACAAATCCCAAAGAAGCACATTTAGCAGCTGAATGTAAGACTTTACGAAGGATACAGATGAAGAGACAGATCATCACATAAAGAAAAAGGTCCACAGGGTTTCCACAGCCTTTGCAGTTGGCACCCCAGGAATCTTCACCTGTTTAACCCCATCCTCCATGTTTTATGGAAACTCTGGTACATGGACCAATGTTTACACCGTGGCCATTGGTATCCAACTTTATATCCCTGAAAAGTTTGGAGAGTGAGACTAAAGGTCCCAATCCTTCACTCCTACATCAGTCTCTTAAAAAAAAAAAAAAAAGTACAGTTTGAATGAGAACAGTCCCCATAGGCTCCTATGTTTGAATATGTGGTCCGCAGTTGATGGAACTGTTTGGAAAGGATTAGGAGGTGTGGCCTTGTTGGAGGCAGTGTATGACTGGGGGTAGGCTTTAAGGTTTCAAAAGACTCAAGCCATTCCATGTCCCTCTCTCTGACTCGTGGTTGTGTCTCAAGGTGTAAGCGCTCAGTTACAGCTCCAGAGTCATGCCTGCCTGCCTGCTGCCATGCTCCCTGCTATGACGGTCATGGACTCACCCTCTGAAACTGTAAGTCTCAAGTTAAATGCTTCCTTTTATAAATTGCCTTGGACGTGGTATTTTATCACAGCAGTAGAAAAGTGACTAAAACAACCAGCCTCCATCCTGCAGCCAGACAGTAACTGCCAGCTACCAGTCAAGTCACTGGCACACACCAAGAGATCACTTCAGACATTCTAAAGATTTTAGGAGTTCTACTGCCAGGAGACAGAGCTGAAGACCAAACGTATGTGTCACAATATCTCCAATGAAAATTTACCTTCTCTCATATCAAAACTAACTCCAAGCTGTAATTATTAAGAGACACAGGACAAAACATAGTGGGACCGCTAGTGGATTCTAGAAATGAGCCTCCTCAGACAGATATACAGAGGCATAAGTTTATCTACATAGACATATGCACCTTTATTTGATGCTAAACATATACACATAAAGGCCTGAGAGGCACTGTAATTGTTATGCTAGCTGCTCCTCGGGAACAGGATGGGGTGTGTCAGGTGCATCCTTGGGAGGCCTCTGTTTTCCCCTTTATACACTTCAGAATTATATTTGTCATGAGTCACAGTATTGACTCCATAACTGAAATTTACAACGTCCCTACACCTTAACTCAGCTCTGCATCCAACAGTGAGAGGTCTTGTGCAAGGGACCAGTGGACGGCTCAGCGGGAGGGGCCGCTTGCTGCCAAGCCTGGCAACCTGAGCTCAATCCCAGAGAGCCATACGGTAGAAGGAAAGAACCAGACTTTTGCAAGTTGTCCTCTGACCTCCATGGCATGCACACACACAAATGTGGCTTTAAAACAGTCCTGTGCAGCAGGGATGCCCACCGGCCACACAGATTTTTAAAGATAAAATTCACAGCAGTTCAAATGCCCAGTTAGCAAGGAAGCCACAAATCTCGGGTGCTTTGCAGTGTGTCTGCTGCTGGGCCTTGACAGGAAGCACACTGAACACCCAGAAGGGATCCCGGAGGAGGTGTGATGGCAGGATTTCTGTAAGCTGTGTGGGCAGGGTTTAAAAGAGCCGCTGGGAGACTAGCAAGGGCGGGAGGCTGTTCCTCCTCTCCTGAAAGGGTGAGAAGAGAGGAGGGTGTCCCAGCAGCTGTGGACATGCTGGCAAGAGAAGAGATGCGTGAGGCGGAAGCAGTGGGATGCAGGGCACAGCTTCTTCTGGGACAGCGGCAGCGGAGCGATTAAAAACACTCTAACCTCTCGCTCATCCAGTTCCCTCAATTGGTCCCAAATGGAAGCCAGAGGGCAAGGAAGTGTGGCAGTTCACAAAGGCCACCATAGAACAGAGAAAGGTGAACAGGGTCCTCGAGGGCAGGGGAGGAAATGCAGAGAGAATGAAGCAAAGGATGCGCAACACAGACTCGAGCATAGAGCACATGGCTATGTGGAAATGATCTACAGAGAGACGAGTGTGCATATACAGCCTCATCCTGCCAACAACAGACGGGGAAGCCCGAAAATTTAAAAACTAAGTGGAGAGACGGCTCAGGTGTTAAGAGCACTTGCTGCTCTTACAGAGGACCTGAGTTTGGCTCCTAGAACCCACAGGGCAGCTGACAATTGTCTGTAACTCCAGTCTCTGGGGAACCAGCATTCCCTTGGTTTTGCATGGGTCGACTGTTTTGCACTCTGCAGGCTCTCACTGGGGCAGAC